GCCACCCCAGGGTAGAGTCTGCTTCTTTCTGTGCCCTCCCCGTGAGCACAGGCCTGTGTTCCCTCTCCGTGAAGGCTGGGCTTTTGGGCAGCACCCTCCCGGGGGGCGGTGATCCTGCAATGGGGGAATGGGCGTACGGCTCCCTGAGAAGTCAGGAGTGCCGAACTTCAGAGCTGGGCTCCCTGTGCAGGACAGGCAGGCCCCAGTGGGTCTCTGCCCCGGTCAGACCTGGGCAGAAAAGCAGGAGGGACTGCGAGGCATGGGAAGAAGGGCAGCACCCGCTGCCACTGCTGCGGTGCCTGAGGTGCCTCCCGCTGCTTTGGTGCGAGGAAAGTTCTGGGGATGGAGCTGGCCCACAAGTGCCACGGGCCAGGCTCCTTCCAACCCTGCTTTCTGCCAGTGCCGCACCTCCAAGATTCTCCGCAGGTCCCTGGAGCCCGGGGAGCTGAGCACCAAGCTCTCCAGCAGGACGTCCATGGCATCCAGGGTCTGCAAGGAGGAAAACGGTCACGTCAGTCTTTCTGCAGTCCCTCTCTCCCCGGGGATGGATCTAACCCCCCACGCCATGGGGAGGGCACCCCTGCCACCCAAGGGACACCTTGAAGCAGACAAGTTGCAGTGGGCAGAGGAGCCAGTCCAGAGGCACTGGACATGGCAAGGCCCACGAGAAGGAGATGAAGGGACAAGGGTGGGAAAGTAAAGCCGAGACCCTATCGTGCCGTGGATCGCTGGTTGTGGTTCAGCACTTGCCAGCCAGGGAGCAGCTCTGAGTGCTCCTGGCAGCCCAACAGCGCTTACCTTAAAGTAGAGAAAGATGTCTTGGCCCTGCCTAGCAGTGATGGGGGGAAGCAAGAAGACCGTCCTAAAACAGGACTGCAAAAGGCTTTTCTTCTTGCTCTCCAATAGCATCTCCACTTTGCTAAAAAGAGAGAGAGAGGGACCTGTCAGACATGGGCGCTGGGAGCGCTGCCTCCGTGCCCTGTGCAGCTGGACACAGACCTCTGGAGCAGAGGTGACCAAGGGGGATGGAGCCCTGGTGTGCGGGGAGCCCTGCCAGGAGGTGCCTCCTCCCTCCTTGACGTGGCCCAGGCCAAAGGACGGTCCTGGCAGGCAAAGCCTCCCGCCTCCTGCTCTTGGCAGCAGCCGAGATGTGGTGGGGACCTGCAGGATCCCTCTGCTCTCACCTGCGCCTCTCCGCAAGCCACGAGCAGGGAAAAGACCAGGCCCTCTGAGGGCACCACTGGGCTCCGCCTGGATGGGAGATGCCCACTGCCAGGGCCAGGGCTATGGGCTCTGCAGAGGTGTCTGCCAAACCAGGAGCTGGCACGCACCTCATCTGGGCGAGGGTCAGCATGGCTTCCTGCCGCACCGCTGTGTGCAGGTGGCCCATGGGCTCCTCTTCCACCAGCGCCTGCAGAACACAAGCAGGATGGGACCTGGCGGCTGCCAGCACCCAGTGCCAGCAGACCCAGCCCCAGGCAGCAGGGCTGGCAGACACCCTCTGTCCCCAAGCCCAGCTCTGGCCCCCAGCGTGGCCCCGCTGCCAGGGCTGCTCAGCCCTGCAGCTCAGTGTCTGCCTGCGCACGCTGGTCCCTGCCCTCCCCCTGCACGGGCCCTGTGTGTCCTCACAGTGTGCCGGTGCCTGGCAACTTGCCCCCTTCCTCAGGCCAGCCGTGTGTCCCCTCACCTTGATGTTCTCTACCACCTGACACTGCTCACAGAACTCCTTTACTTCCTCTAAGAAGCCCTGGTCCCTGGGAGCTGTGCAGAGGCTGGAGACGGCCTGCAGGAATTTCACCTTCTGAGCCTCCTCCTGGGCAGCCGGGGGGCAGAGACACAAACAGGCAGCGTGAGAAGGGGGGCACGTGGCCAGCGGGACTGGAGCAGTGGGGCTGCAGTGCTGTGCAGGAGACCCGGGGGAGCAGCTCTGCCCAGCCAGCAGCCTGGCAGCAGAGCCAGTGGCCCCATCAGGAGACACGGGCACTGCTAGCCTGGAAACGGCTGCGGTTACCTGCTCTGAGCTCTGCAGGAAAGTCTGGATAAACCGCATGTGTGCAGTGCGTTCCTCTTCCATCCTTGCCGGACAAAAGGATAGGGGTGAGGAACGAGTAGGGTTGAGAGAAGTGTCTCGGCACTGCGGGGCTGCTGGGGCAGTGGGGAACAACGTGGGCTGCGCTCAGGGGTCTGCGCCAGTCTCTCGCTCCCGCTCTGTCCCGTCACCGTCCTGCCGGACACTGGCACGAAGGATGTGGCCTGCTGACTTTTATACAGTGCCCTGGGGTGTGACCAAGGGCACATCACAAAGGCACGTCACAAAGGGCACCGTGGTGGGTCACGGAGGGCGCATCACTAAGGGCACCGTGTTTGGCTAACCATCAGCCCCACAAACCTAATGCGTGTTCATGCACAGCAGTAGATTAAACAAAGATTTTTTTTTATTCAGACCTTCAGTAGGCAAAACGGTTCCCATCCGCGTTGGCTTAACCCGTGTTGCCTGATGAAAATCCAAAGTTGCACGTAGCAGGGACTGAGAAGATGAGACTTCCTAGATGAGAGCTCAGAAAGGGAATCGCCTGAAACAGGGAAGCGCCTGTGTCAGGTCTTTTATCATAACGGCTCGGTATTATTGGAGAGAAATGTGCGTTCCCTGGTCTGAGCGGCTTTGCTGTCTCCCCCCCTTTGTGTAAATCCTCTTCTTTTGTACTGTATTTAACCGCATCTTGTTTGAAAATAAATCCTTGCACTGGAAGCCTGACCGAGTGTTGCACTTGCTGGCTGGAGGTGGTTTGAGGATTTTGCCGTACACTTTCCCAGGCAGCATAGCAACTCCGTGGCACTGCTCTCCGTCACTCAGTCCAGACTTTGGCAGAGCTCTCACAAAGCCATTCTTCCTTGTCTGTCCCTCTGTGGAAGGAATTCCGTACGCAGAAAGCAGAATGGGAGAATCCCTTTGAAGGGAAAGGCGGTGGTGTTTTTTCACTGCTCTACACATAGAGTGACGCTGTGCCACTGCCAGGGCCCAGATGGATCCTCTTCAGCATCCTGAGGGCGGGGAGGCGAGAGGGGCCCCCGTGGGTCCAGCCTGAGACTTGTCCCCATCAAGCACTCCCAGGGCTCAGCACGCCCTGTGGTGTGCACACCACAACCGGACTGGGACCTGGTGGCCGCCAGCACACCCAGCACCAGGCGGCTGGGCTCTGCACAGCTCTTGAAACCACTTCCTCTGGGCGCCACGCGTGAGGAGCACCCACGGGAGCCTCACGGCACCCCGCTACCGCTACGAGCGGCTCACGGGCGCCCCCCAGCCGGTGAGCGCGTAGGCGAGACAGCAGCACGGAAATTCCACTTCACGCGTGCGCAGTGCGGGGCGTCGTTGGGTCCCGCCCGTGCGGCGGCAGTTGGGGTGGGAGGAGCAGCTGAGCTCCTCGGGACCGGGGCACGGGGCGCAGCCGATCCCCGGCGGCTCTCGAGCAGCCGTTGCTGTTCAGGTCCGGGCAGTGTGGTGAGGAGCGTGGTCGGCGAGGATCTTCTTCCCCGGCGGGGCCGCGGCCATGGACGAGCAGAGCGTAGAGGTGAGCGGTCTGGCGGCTGTTGCGCTCGCGCCGCCTCAGGGAGGCGGGAAGGGCGGCTTGGCGGTAGCGTGGTGTCCTCGGGTGCGCATCCCCGGGCCCATGGGGACGGAGCGCTGCGGCCGCGGCGGCACCTTCCCTTCCGTGGGGAACGGCGAGTGGCGGGGACGGGCCTGCTCGGTGTGGTGCGTGCCGTGCGGCCTGAGCTGTTCACGGGCCGGGGAAGGGCTGGCGGACGTTGCCGCTGCCGCGGAGCCCCTGGCTCGTCCCTCGCCCTTGTGTGAGGGGAGAGGGGCCGAGCGGTAGGGAGCTGTGGGCGGTCTCGGAGGCGGAACACGGATGGCAGCTCTGCCGCGGGCAGGGATGCACATCGTGCGGAGTCTTGCTCCAGTGTGCCCGGTGAGCCGGTAGGAAGAAAGCGGGATGTAAAGAGGTGGTATTTCTGTGTGACCCGCGGTTGTTTTACATAGTCCAGGTTAGAAAATGAAGGGGTTGGACGGACACCTGGCGCTGATAGAAGCCACTCTGGCACCCGTGACGGCACAGCCCTCAGTGGTGCTTGTCTGCGACCTGGGCAGTTCGTACACGTTGCTGTTGTCCGTATTAATAAGAGCCAAACCGGGGCAGGATTTAACAAGGCCGTGTGTGATAACTTCCTGTAAATGCATGTACTGTGTTTTAATGGTTTGCAGCCATTAAAGAAGACACTAATGTGTGGGAGAGAGGTGCTGTGGTGTCTGTAAATTCAAGAAATTCTTCTGTGCTCGTTTATAGTTTTGACTCTGGGGAAAATAAATAGCCCATCAGAAGAATCTCAGAGTTCTGTAGTTGAAGCCAGAAGGGGTCTTACTCCTGTACAATACAGAATGTAAAACTTCTTATCAGTGCAAAATCTTCTCAGTATGGAAAGCAAGCATAGCTTGGTATTTCAAAGCACCTTCCTCATTTTGGGAATGGAAAGAGCTGAGGTGGTGTATGCTAGAACAAAATGCTTCGCTCTTCAAACGGGGATAGTAAAAGATAATTTGTCAAAATACACTTTTATTGCTGGAGAATTATTAAATGGGGTGTGAGAGAGCGTAGACGTTGTGGAGCTAGTGCTCATGGTAGACCTTAAAAAAGGTAAGCCTTATAAAAGTAAAATCAAAAGCCCCATACAGTTCAACCCACCTCATTAGCGTTCTGTATAACAGCTACATGCACTTGCCATGCTTCTGAATTAGTTTAGTGCCAGTACATTGAAACTCGTGTGCTTAGAGTCTGCAGGTGCAGCAGTTTATTCTGGCATCTGTTCAATCCCAGGTGAACGCAAACAGGAATGGTATCTTGACTCTAGAAAGGCCCACGTCAAAAAAGATGAGCCAAAGAAAGAAACTATGCCTTGAAGAACAGTGTTGCAAAATGTGGGCTAAGAGCTGGTGTAGGGTAGGAGGAAGTTGGGGGGGGGGGCGGGCGGCGAGAGCCGCTGTGTTTGACATGGTGTTTTGACTCTAAGATGAGCTATTGGTAGCTGTTTGGAGTGTGGGACTGCGTGTATGGAACCTGGCACTCTGCCTGGGAAATAAATGCAACTCTGATATGCTTGAAGTATATGGCTTAACAGTAGCGATAATCTACCCTCTGCAGAGCATTGCTGAAGTGTTCCGATGTTTTATTTGTATGGAGAAATTGCGTGATGCACGCCTCTGTCCTCATTGCTCCAAGTTGTGCTGTTTCAGTTGCATTCGGGTGAGTTTCCTCATTATGGTTTATTCTTGCAAATGTATGAACTTAAAACTCAGTGATCTGATGAACACGTTCTTGGTTCTTTCTTGTCTGTTTCCCTGGTGCTCCAAGGATTCCTTTTTCCTGCCCTGTGCTCTTCAGTTTCCCTTTCAGGATCCTTTACAACTCCCCGAGTTAAAATGAGGCAGGCTGTGCATTGCATTCAGCAGTGCTAATTATAGGGACTATCTGGATAATTGCTTTAAAGAAGCAGACGTATAATGATCCCATCTGTGGCATCTTTTGGGAGTCAGTGGTGCCTGTTTGGAAGACCCAAAATTGGGACAGGACTGAAATGCTGACTTGGCATCTCAGTAGGGAGCACTGGAAGATCATAACACCACCTCTGGTCACCTTGGAGATGTTTTAGAATCCTTCCCCAACTAGTATAGTGTGAGCAGATACAGGCTCAATCTTTCTCAAGAGAGCCTGATATATCAGGCTGAAGCAGCATCTGAATCCCAATTCTTTGATGAAATCCTGGTTTCCAGTGTATAACACTTTAGTTCCAAGTCTGGAAGCTGTAGGTGCTGTGGGAGAGGGCTCAGCTGAGGTTTTCAGTCCTCTGGTAGTATTTCCAGAAACTGGAACAGGCAATCGTTTGCTTCGAAAGCTCTGACAAGAACTATAGGTGAAGGCTTCATGTTACACATTAAGAATGTTAGCACATTGTTGCTGGGTGCTGAGAGATTATTCATGAGAGTCTTTAAATGTAGTAAGTGAGCAGACAGATACAAGCCCATTAACTGCTGTGCTTTTACACTTGTAAGTTGTAGTGGGCAGGTGAAGTTCCTTCCTCAGCTACTTGTCTTTGGAGCTTTCTGGAAGAGAAGGATTCGAAGGGTCCTTGTGGATTTGATGATCCTTGATCCACCGGTATCTAATATGTGTATAGATAGCCCAAGAGGAAGAAATAAGTTATGTTGAAGAGTATAATTTAGACTGAAATTTAGGCTTGTATCTTTTCCTTTCTTTTGTTGAAACACGCTCTTCAGTCTGTGACTATGGGAGTCTGCCCCACATGTGTGGTTTCTCATGGAATATTTGGTACCTCAGAATCCTCTGTATATTTTTTACTGGGGTGCCTTTGACATCTAAAGAAAAGTGGTTGCTTTGTGACTAAGTGGTGGAACAGCTAAACTGTAAATCTTAGAATCCGCCCGGGTAGTGCTAGAATGTATTTGCTTGCAGTTCTTTTTTTGCAGTCTCTTTAAAAATGTTTTTCCTTTTTCCTTCATAGCGTTGGCTGACGGAACAAAGAGCTCAGTGCCCTCATTGTAGGTAAGGTATTTTTAGTATCAGAAAGAAATTACCAGGAATTGGGTGTACTGTCCTGTTGTGATCAATCTCTTTTTTTTCAGTGCAGGTTGCACTAAATTTGTACGCTTGATTTGTTTTTATTTTTATCTTTTTTTTTTAAGGACTCTGCTGTTACTGTAAATATTTAGTCTGGTATAATGCTTACTGTAAAATATGTTCTAGTTTTGCGACCAGCTAAGCAAGATCTTTATTCTTCCCATCACGCTGCTGTTTTCAGGGTGTGCAGTTGGTGTAATAAGAGTAACTAGATGGTGTTCCCCTCAGAACTCCTTATTCTTGCAAGAGTCAGAGAGCAGAAACTTCAGTTTTCAGACTGAAATTTTATTTATTTTTTTTTAATTTTTTTTTATTTTTTAGCTACAGTGTGGTGTTTGTTTGGTTTGGGTTTTTTTAATGCAAGCCGTGGCCTCCGTTAGCACTTCTGGGCACTTAGCGATACTAGCTTTTGATAGACCAAAAATTGGAAGGCAGCACATATTCTTTTTGCCTAAGGAAAGGGAGGTCCTTAAACCCAGTTAATCAAGCATTTCCATGGAACTTCTTAAATACTGAGCTTTTCAAGGATTTGATCTGTAGCACTAAAGTGAAGAAGCACTGAAAAACAAAATGATTTGCCCAGCATTATCCAGGAGTCTATCAAGAAATCTGGAAATAGTTCTTGGGTTCCCCATGTTGACTTCAAACGTTGCTTTGCTTTTTGGATGTTTTTTTTTCCCTGAAATAAGTAGTAGCGCTTCTACTTTTTTGCCCCTGAATTTTTCCCATAGTGTAGAGTCACTGAGCTGAATTAAGTCAATGATGCTTCTCTTGTATCTCCTGGAGCTGAGTTCTTGCTCTAACTCTAGTCATGCTTCTTGCAGAGCCCCGCTGCAGCTGCGAGAGCTTGTAAACTGTCGTTGGGCAGAAGAGGTCACACAGCAGCTTGATACACTTCAACTCTGCAATCTCACAAAGCATGAAGAAAATGAGAAAGACAAGTAAATGGAGCTTTCTTCACATAAAGCGTGTTGCAGTTAGCTTATATAAGCAGGCTCTTAATTTCCCTGATTCTAAGGAGCTGAACAAACGGATAACTTTGACTTAAAAGCTGAATTATGCTCTTTGTCTGACTAAAAGTTGGAGTTAATTTCTGTCATACTTAATGGAACGAGAAAAACTCTTCAGTGTCTTTGCCTCGAAAACTACTATTTCTTGTTTGGCTCAGTATAGTTAAAATGAGAGCTAGAGGAAACGTGAAGGGTGGTAATACTCCTTCAGACCGTTAGCCCTTCTTCGTGACAGTAGAGCTGAAATAAAAGTTTCCGCTCAATGGCTTGTTCATTTGGCAGTCCCATTAAGACTGTGGGTGCTCATTTGTTATCTCAACGCCTAAAAGCAGAGAAGCTGTTGTGAGGAGGTGTCTTCTAGTCATGGGTGAAAATGTAATTGATAAATCCAGATTGAGATCAAAGAAAATATGCAAAGTCTCAGAGAAAGCACTTCTATTACTACATCTGCAGCGTGACTGCTGTTCACTTTCCTTCCTCGTCTTTGGAGCCTCTTGTGTTTTCTGATATATTCTCTTCCTAGGAGCAACTCTCAGAACTTTCTCAGCAGGCTTTTCTCTTGGTTTTATCCCGTTAGCAGTCCTGTTATGTGTGTTAAGATATATTCCGGAGATCTGGAGGAGAAAAGCGTGAGAAGAAGCATTGATAAATGAACAGGGACCAGTTATGTGTTCTGTGCCTGCCTCCTCCTCAAGTTTGTGAATCCTAAGGGAGGAGGAAAGGAGAGGCCTGTATTTGAGGTCTGTCCTGGTCTGTGCTTGATCTGTTGGTCGATGCCGTTCCTGAAATGTTAAGAAATGCCAAAGATTGATTTGTCCCGATAGCTTGTGAGCCATTGCTCTGTGGTTACTTTAGGTAGCATACGATCAGGACTTTAATAATGGGATTGATGCGCTGATGGTGTCTTTACTCTCGGTGTTGGACAGCAAAGCAAGTGAAAATGTTAAATTGAATTTGCAGAAAATTCATGGCTATTTTCTGCTGATAATACGTGTGTTTTTTTTTGTTTAAGGTGTGAAAGTCATCATGAAAAACTTAGTGTTTTCTGCTGGACCTGTAAGAAGTGTATCTGTCACCAGTGTGCACTTTGGGGAGGAATGGTAAGAAGAGACTTGCATGTGTGCATATGGTGTGCTGCAGTAAGAGACTGCGAGTGTTCCGTTTGCCAATATTTTGAAGAAATAGAAATGTTGTGAAACTGTTGTAATGGCAGTTGAACTGCCATGCAAATATTGTAGTGGTATGTGTATTTATAATTTAATGTGAGCATCGGGTTTGAGAAGCATGCCTCCTGTTTGTAATTAGAGAAGCAAATTGAATTTTTGCTGAAATGAGGTCAGAATTACCTTCCTTGTTGTAAGCCTCATGATGTCTTGCATGAACTTGAGAGGGTGGTGGGAACTTTATGGGCCAAGGTAGAAGTCTTTCTCAGAAAACACAGGTAACTCTTAGCTTCCTTAAACGTTCTGGCCTGTAATCCTGAGGATCTTCAAAGCTCTATTAGCACAATTCTTTCCTTTCTGTTGCATATTTCCAGGAGAGACCGCTGTCATCGGCCGGAATATAAGTGGTTTAAAAGTGCGCTGCCTTTGTTTGGGAAGGGTGTTTTGGTAATAATAATAAAAATAAATAACCTTCTGTTGTCACTTGATTAGAGAACTGCACAGTGAATGAAGCAGTCTATCTTTGGGGGCCTGTTGAGGCTCTTGACAGGAAGCTTTGACGCTGTAAAAGCCAAATTCACAACTTCTTACAAAGGGAAGCGAAGGACAGACTTCCTACATACAGTCTGCTTTGGAACTTTTCCAAAATGAGTGGTACACTAAGAGATTTTCTTGCCCTCTTGGTACTTTAATAAGAGTGGACTGAAGTTAAAATGAGATGCTCTGTTGTTCTCCATCTGCTCCCCCTCTTTTTCTAACAGCATGGAGGACATACTTTTAAGCCACTGGCAGAAATCTACGAGCAGCATGTCACAAAAGTCAATGAAGAAGTAGTAAAGCTTAGGAGAAGACTCATGGAATTGATCAGTTTGGTTCAAGAAGTGGTAAGAAACCGATCCAAGATACTGTGAAGTTTTCCTGTAGTACACCATTGTCAAGGGGTAACTGTAAAGAGAGGCATGGAAATATTACACCACTGTATAGGCTCGTGGTGTTGTCAGCACCTGTTCAGAAGCTGTTGCTTGTGGTAGAACGCATTTTTCATTTTTTTAGGAGAATATATTTGAGCTTACAGGAGGTCTGTAAAGCGGCTTACCAGTTAAAGATTTGGAGTTTGTGTACCTGCTTTTTCTTCCCCATAGGGGTAAATGTGTTAGATGTCAATATTTGGATATGTTCAGCTTTGGCAGTTTTTAGTGGGAATCGCAGGAATTAATTTCTTGTATTCTAGGGAGGATTATTTTTGTGTTCTGCTGAATGCTGGTGGATTTATCATGCATTCTTTGCACAAATAAGTTGGTTTGTTGTTTTTTTTTTAAACAAGTCTCAGTAGGGTTTTTGTGACTGTTACATCACCATGTGGGCTCTTTGTAAGTATTTGTAGAATCATAGAATGGTTAGGGCTGGAAAGGACCTTAAGATTATCTAGTTCCAGCCCCAAATGTTTATAGAGGATTGTTGCTTTCACCTTCCAGGGTGAAGGGCATAATTTTTATCAAATTATTCTTGTTACCAAGAAGGTAACTTTACTGCTCAAATTACAGAAGAGAAAATGGCAGTTGTATTTATAAATTTTGGTACTAAAGAATTCCTGTATGATGAAATCTGTATGCAGCGAGAAAATGTTGCTCAACTTTACTGTTAACCTTTGGTCACCCACCAGAGGGCACACTTATGTGTTCCGTAAGAGTCAACGGGTGTTTTCAGGAACAGCCTGTAATACACCTCATTTAAAGCCACATTCCTATTTTCGTATTCTAAATAAGTGGGCTCCAGTGAGACCTGGATTATTTTCTTTTTTTTTTTTTTTTTTTCCCCTCATAGAGAACTAGAGCTGGAGGGGACTGCTGTAGGCAAAGCTTAGGAAAGAATGGAGCCAACGTGTAAAAGAGTGAAATGTGGAGAAGTGTGAAGCTTTTGATTTTGTGCATGTTTTTTCCTGAACTCCGGTTTAGGAGAGGAATGTAGATGCAGTGCGTAGTGCGAAGGATGAACGAGTTCGGGAAATCAGGAATGCAGTGGAGATGATGATTGCCCGATTAGACACTCAGCTGAAGAATAAGCTTATAACATTGATGGGTAGGTATTTATGCATGGGAACAACATATCAATTATCTGTAAATCTATTAAGAAACTTTCTTGTCCTGGAAGTGTGACTCCTTACACACATTCTGGTGTTTAAGCACGTTAAGCACTGTTAGAAGATTTTTGCCTGCAGCAAAGCTTTTAATTAATCACGTAGTTACTGTGATACAGTTCTAAGTTGTTAGATGTAATGTGGTTGGTTCTGTTGGAAACGCCAGTATAATAACTTGGAGAACATTTCTGTCTAATTGGAAGATACTTAGTTCCTTTCACCTAGAATATTTATATACCATCATTTTGGTTAGCCAAGATGTCCGTCTTTGTGATTTGACATCTTTGTAATCTACATGCTCCTTTTAATGTAATTTTAAAAAATGAATAGTCTGTATGAGCTGTCTGGTGAGCCAAGACTTCAATCCATACATACAGGCAGCCTTGTCTGCGAATGAAGAACGTGGCATCTGGAATCAGAGCTGCTTATTTGGTTCCTGACACTTTTGCTAGCTGGGACTGGTCACTTTAGCTCTACTTTGGTATTGAGGTGAGAAGACGGGTGGTGCACTACTAAAAATGAAGCGCAGCTTTCAATGAGAAGGACGGAATATTCCGCAGTTGGCTAAAACTGTGCATGCTTTGCTCAGCTAATTTTGCATCTGTGCCTTGGTTATTCCACCTGTGCTTTCCTTTCCATAATGCATTGACAGGAGCACATAGTAAAGGTGACATCTTTCTTTAGACCCTCTTGAGACGTTACACTTATGACCTTACTTTTGCAAGGTACACAACGAGTAGGTTAAAGTACACAGAGAAAACATCCTTGACCTTGTATCTATGTACTTGTCGTGGAAATAAAAGTAAGGCAGTAAAATAGCTGTGCTGAAAATGTATTTCTGATGCTCGAAATCTTCACACACGTTCGAACACGCCTCCCATCTCCCTGCCACCCACCCAAAGAAAACCTGCAGTGTTCATGCTTGGAAAATGTTCTTAGCTTTGATAATGCTTGTCTTTATTCTCTTAGGTCATTTTTATTAAAACTAAAACAATATAACAGATAGACGCTACCGGTGTTTCAAGTACGTCTTCAAATACATGTCAGTACCTTAAAATATTTGCTTTAAATTAAATCCAGGATTCATACCTACTTTGTGCCCCTGTTGAATACAGTAATCGGTCACAAGGTTTGTGTTAGTGTGTAGTGGTTAAAGATCAGTTTTAAAGCTGTGGTAAATACAATAATTATTTGTATGTACAGGTTAACATTTTGTTCATGTAACACTTTTTTTCTAACAGCCGCCATACTCTTCAGGTGTGTAATGTGTGATGGAAGTGAAGTCAAACCTGTCTTTTTTTATTTTATGTCCAAAAAAGCACCCCAGAACAACAGACTTCCCATTTCTGGGACACAGAATGATTCCTTACTGACTTAACCTCAAGTGAGCTCTTTACTACAGCTCTAATTAAAAATGTAGGCTTACTTTTAAAATGCTTTCTCAATCAACCTTGGTCTATTTAGAAATTCTTTACCTTAGTAGGTTTTGGATCAGCTTCCAGGTTAAAAAAAAAAAAAAAAAAAAAAAAGGAGAAAAAAAGAAAAAGCTCAGTTTCTTAAAATCCAGTGATTTATGTTTTTTTTCTTTAAACGTATTGTCTTCTCTTTTAACAGGTCAAAAGACATCACTTACTCAAGAAACTGAACTTCTGGAATCCCTGCTTCAAGAAGTAGAACATCAGGTGCTTATGAAAAGAGCTGAAATATTGTGTTACACAGATCCCTCCCTCCTCAGTCAGCCTTCCTTACTTAATTTGTTTTTAAACTGTCAATTGATGCATATTTTTTGAGGGTATCTTTTCATTTAAGTCATCTTAGGTCACGCAATTTCTTCTTTAAAAAGTTGCTTGAAAAACTAGTACAGGGATTAATAGCAGTATCCTAGAAAACTACACAGTTGCACGTTTGGTGAATGTGACATTGCAAATCCTTTCTGTCGTAGTTTGAACTTGAAGCATTTAGGTGGTGTGGGTCTTTTAGTCTGTTAGATTCTGTTAGTTCTGCTGCTGTCAAGTGCGTATGAATAGTGGTGGCTATAAATTGAGAATAAACAAAAGTGTTTTGTTTCTCTGCTTTTGAGGAAAATTGAACTGGTTCTAGCTGTTTATTTCTGTCCACCTGTCTTTCCAAGAAGATATTTTATGTATTTATTTATTTATTTTTATTTATATACATAATATATATATTTTTTGTCTGTTTGTTGAGAGCTCTCTGTGAAGTTGCATATATTGCATCCCAAATGAGGATGTTTTAAATCCCGAACAGCAGTGAGTATGCAGCTCTACGGGTCAGCTTCTCCTTTTCAGAATAAAGCCCCATTAAAATATTAATAAATCAGTGTTAGTGAAACGTGACCTCTCCTCCCTGCAAATAGGAGGAAAAGCATGCTAACTGAAAAAAAAAAAAAAAGTGAGAACATGCAAACATGTGGCAACTGTGTAGGTCTCCACTGCTTATTTAAAGTCATCATCTATGTCAAGAGGGGCTTTGAACTTCATGGTCTTTTTTGTGAAAGTATCACAGTATCACAGTATGCTAGAGATTGGAAGGGACCTCAAAAGATCATCTAGTCCAATCCCCCTGCCGGAGCAGGAACACCTAGATAAGGTTACAAGTGATAGAATTATTTGAAGAGCTCATTATTTGAAGAGCTCATAGCAACAATGTGACTTTAAAAAATGTACATATTAGTCTTAATTATTAATGTATTAATATCACAGGCGCTTTTATTGCTGTGTTGTGATGCATTTGGCAGATTATCCTAATGTCTGATTAAGTGTCATTTCCAGATCAATCTGGTTTTTATTGCCCAAACACCATAATAGATGTGACTTGGTATTAATCAGACATCTATATAAATTAGTTCAACCTAAGTGAAGTACGTGATAGTTGCTGTAACTTTCACTGTAGGGTTTCGAAGCCTTAAACATTCAGAACTTCCCAACTGGGTTGCATAGGCCTAGGAGTGAGCCAGAGTTAGAATATCCATTTCAATTTCCTAACAGAAATTTTAGAACACGTGACCATCGGCTGTTGTAGGCAAATTCTTCATCTTAGGAGTTGCCAGAACCCAAACAAATGAAAAACCCCAAAGAACCCAGAACGTTCCAAGCTGCATTTTACATTGCACTGTGGGTAATCTTTCTGAAGCTGTAACAGACATGCAATTTATTTCTTAAAACCAGAAGTGGTCAAAATCTATGGTTTCTACTAATGTTCTTCCTTCTTGTTTTTTCCCCTAGTTACGATCGTGCAGTAAGAGCGAGTTGATCTCCAAAAGTTCGGAGATCCTGATGATGTTCCAGCAGGTTCATCGGAAGCCTATGGCCTCATTTGTCACCACTCCTGTCCCCCCAGACTTCACAAGGTCAGCACTGCAAATACTTTGCTTAAACTTGAAAGTCATCTCGCAAAGGTTTGTTTTGCTTGTTAAAAAATCCGTAGAGTAAATTAGAGGAGAATATTCATTTTGCTGTACCGCTGTATGGAGGAGGACATGCCTAATCTGGAAGGTAAGCGTATTATGTACCTCAGCCTTTTGTAAAGCTATGATAGGAGAGTGCCACTGTATTTTAAGAGGAGAATTTGAGAGAGTAAATGATAGGCGGCTGGTGGAGAGGTTGCCTGATGCTCAGCTTCTCCACAATATGAGCTGTGGCATTGGTAATCCGGGGAGTAAAGTGATTTTGTCCGTTTCTGTGTTAAACCAGGTATCTCTGACTGAATTTGGGTCCAGGCATATACACTGAAAATTCTTAACTGCTTAATTACTCCTGTTAGTAACCTGTGCCGCAAGCAGGCTTTTCTGTTCTGGCAGGGCTTATTTTATGCCTGCAGTCCCTGCTGGGGAGTCACAGCAGTGGCTTGCAGCGACAGTTTCTTTTCTCTTTTACGCTTGGTTTACTGATTTGTCCTTTTCCTATTCTTATTGGGTCCGTGAGTATATAATTGCAAGGCTCCCATGAGGTGCTTCTGCACGACACCTTAATTCACAAGATATAGCCAAAACCACTTCACAGCAGAATTCTTCATAAAGAACGTGCTGCTGGTGCTGGGTTCTCAGGAATTTCATAGCACAATTCTTCATAAAGTGCTGCTGGTGCTGGGTTCTCAGGAAGTGCTTTTCATTGCGCCAGCGAGCAGATCCTGTGTACAGTCCACCTCTGCAAGTGTCAGGACTTTGCTGGAGATTAAAAGTTTATCCAGTGAGTTATGTTTTCAACTAGAGTTGTTATCCCACCCAAAACACTTCAGCAGCATTCGTGTGCTTCTCTTGTGAAGAAACATCAGTTAGTGTCTTCCCATGTTGTGTATAAAAAGCTGTATGAAAACAACGTAATAAGGTTGTAGAGTTGATCACAAACCATTGGAGTATTCCTGCTCTGCTTCCAGATACGCAGCATGAACGTTCACAATGTAGTTAATCTGGTAAATTTAAAAGCAATTAAAAAAGGTCTTACTAATATACCATAGGAACTGTAATAGATATTTTTACTATTTTTGTCTGAGTGGTTTTTATAGATGTTCCTTGCAGAACTGAAGTATAGAATAACTTAAAATATTTATGCTTATGAATAGTACTTATTTGGGCAGTTGGGAAGAGGACGAGGTAGTAGTCGAAGGTGAATCTGTTTTACTGCGCATCCAGTTCTCAGATGTTTGGATGTATGCTAAAACGTGTATTGTACTAATGTCCTTCCAGTGAGCTGAATAGTCAGATTTCTGAAGCACTATCTTTGTCAGTGTTGGAATGTTAACCCGCAAGGTGCAATCTTTTTGCAGTCCAATAGCCTGGTCAGTGCTTCAAGGAAGCTCTGGCTGCTCCTGCAGCTGTGTTTGGAGAAATACATTGTTTAGTGGTGGAGTGCAGGTTTTGTTTGTTAGTGGTTGACACGGCATCTTCAGAAAACTGGATTAATCTGTTAAGCCCATGTTTGCACAGGATTTGTATTTCTGGGGTGCAGAGGTGGACCCCTGTGTAAGTTTTCAGAGTATTGTAAATTCAGGATTGACTACATAAGGTGTGCTGTCAGAAGGCATTAAAATTTTTTTTTTAAATGGTAAGTTAAAATGTTTCTTCAACCTAGAGGATTCAAGTTGAGCCATTCTTCATCCTTGATGAAGGTGAGTGTGATGGAGGTTTTGCCAAGTTTTTTCTTGTTTTCTACTTGATTCTAATATTGTTTCTCAGTTAACTGACCTAAATTTCGCATTGCATGTTTTTTGTAAAGAAATTACCCTTATTTCAAATACCAATTTGAAATGCAGCTGTATAGTAAATATTTCAGAACTAATGTTTAACCTGAGCTGGTTTAATGTGGAGAATTTGAGAAGAACTGGAATATAATAAATTGCTAAGTACATTTTATGAGCTTTTTTCTGCTTTTTCTGTTTGTTACATAAATTGTCTGTTCAGTCTTCCACTTACTTGAACCCTTAAAGTGTTAATAGAGTAATGAAAGCTCTGTTTTGAGATTTATATCTAAGATGCAAACACCTTGTTGATTCAAGTTACAGTAAGACTTCCAGGTCACAGAAGATTAAAATCAAAACTGTATCATACAAAGTAAAGTGCTGTTGCAAATTCTCTATTGACTGAAGCTGCTTTCTCACCTTCAAGGGTATGTCAAGGTGTTTTGCTTTTCTGGTTTTTGCTTTTATATTTTAATCAATTTATCGATTTATTTCAAGGATGGAAATGGTGTGGTAAGGGGCTACTACCTGTCTGTGTTCTTGGAGCTGTCTGCTGGATTGCCAGAGACATCCAAGTAAGTAAACCTCTAGTAAGAGCAGCTGGTTTGATTTCTTTTTCTTTAGGCTTTTTTTTTTTTAGTTGGCAGAGCATCTGGAGAGGTTTGCAAAGAATGATCTGAAGTTCTGTAGTGTTGCTGGGGACTGATGCAGAGTCCTCTTGAAAAGAACAGCAGGGCTTCTGTTGTCCAGAAGCTTTGAATCGTGCCCAAAGATAATCATAGAATCATAGAATAGTTAGGGTTGGAAAGGACCTTAAGATCATCTAGTTCCAACCCCCCTGCCTTGGGCAGGGACACCTTACGCTAAATCGTATCACCCAAGGCCTTGTCCAGCCTGGTCTTGAACACTGCCAGGGATGGAGCATTCACAACCTCCCTGGGCCTGAAAGCTGGTATTTGGTGGCTTTCTCAAGATAAAAAGCTAGCTGTCAAAACAACAGAGAAGAGCATCTGTCCCCTAGTATTCAACCCTAAAGTTGGTTTACCATTCTCACTATTACTACATTTATCCCCTGCTGTACTGTTTATATAAGTGTTGAGTAAAATTGCCAGACCAAACCACTTCTTCAGCTGGGCCTGTAACTCTTCCAGAAAGCATGCTTCTGTTAAACTTGATACATCCAGCAGTTCCAGTGTCTTTATTTTGGTATTAATAACTGTGATTTTTTTCTCCTGTGTAGGTATGAGTACCGTGTAGAAATGGTTCACCAGTCCACCAACGATCCCACCAAAAACATAATTCGAGAGTTTGCCTCTGATTTTGAAGTTGGAGAATGCTGGGGTTACAACAGATTCTTTCGTTTGGACTTGCTAGCCAATGAAGGCTATTTAAACAGGCAAAATGACACTGTGATCCTAAGGTAAGGAAGGCAACTTAGCAGGATTCTTTGCTGCTATCATTTCACAAAGTATCACACCTGCAGCTGAAATAGGAAATAATTAAGTAATTGAATTTAAAATAATTGTGACATGTTTTGCCATAAATGGGATTTGAGTTTCATAAGCTTTAAAGAGAATGTGCTGAAGGGAGTTGTGGAAACTGTATCTTCTATGTATCAAGCTATGCTTGGCACTAAGAAGCCTGGGTTAGGGGTCTGTAGCTAATTGATTTAAAGGCAAAGGCTGTTTTCTCCCCTTTTCAGAAGCAGTTGTAGTGATCATAGGAGAACTTTGGGAATAAAGGATGTCTGAACTAATGCTGTCAATGGGAGTTGCAGTGTTAAGACAAAATACAGAAACTTTATCCACCTACTTCTAAGTACAATTCTACTCTTGCTCCTGCTAAATGCTTTGTAGTGTTAATGTTGTTAGTGTTGGTTTGTGAAGATAAAAACCTCTTGTATAACTGCCCTTCAGAATACTTCCTGTTGCCATTCAGTGTGCTCAGGATACTGAATATGGCATTGTTAAGTTTATTTTATCACTGGATTTCAGGTTGGGTTATATTTTAATGTAGGGCTTTTAGGATTTTGTGGGGGGCACAAAAACCAAACCAAAACAAAGAAAAAAAACGTTAAAAACCCCTTTTCAAATGCTCCTTTGAAGGTTTCAGGTGCGCTCGCCAACCTTCTTCCAAAAGTGCCGAGATCAACACTGGTACATTGCTCAGTTAGAAGCTGCTCAGACAAGTTATATTCAACAAATAAATAACCTTAAAGAAGTAAGTGGCATCTATACTACTGTAAAAATCACGTTTTACTTACGAGTAATTACCTGGTTTAGGTTTCAGTGTTAACATTTGACAGTTGTGTTTGAGTTGCTATTGGTAGTTTGATATTGGGTGTTATTAAAATAATACATATGCAAGTCAACAAACTTACTTGATTTGATGCTCCATTGTTGCCTTCTCTGTATATCCTTCTAATGTGTATCTTTCTAATATTTCAGAGGCTTGCAATTGAACTTTCCCGGACCCAGAAATCACGAGGCATTTCACCTCCAGACACTCATCTGAGTCCCCAGAATGATGATGGTCCAGAATCGAGATCAAAGAAATCTGGGCAAACCACTGAAGCACTGCTTGAGAATGTTGCTGCTCCAGGATTAGTGCGCGATAGCAAGGAAGAGGAAGAAGAGAAGATCCAGCATGAAGATTTTAATGTAAGAGTTGTCTTTTTCCTGCCTCTTTGTTTGTGTGTAGCTTTGTGTGATAGGGTAGCAGTAGAGACATAGGTGAGCTTACGAATTGTGAATTAGATTTATTATCCTCTGTGTGGAATTAGGAGACAACACATTCAACAGCTAGCAGCGAGAGATGACACAAGAGAGATTCCAAAGCACATCTAATTGATCCCACCACAAAAACGTTTCCAAGTTTCAGTTTTGCAGCTAAAAAATCCAGCTTCCCTGGGTTTTACCAGCTTTTACTGTGCTTTGAGACCCTCCTAATTCCTGTGTGATGCTCTGGGGAGAGGGTTCCTCTTAGTAGCTTTTGGTTTGTTCTGTTTTTCTGGTAGCTTGAGCTCTCTGATGGTGACTTGGATATAGATCTTGCTGGAGAAGATGAGGTAAACCACCTTGATGGCAGCAGCTCTTCAGCTAGTTCAACAGCAACTAGTAACACTGAAGAAAATGATATTGATGAAGAGACTATGTAAGTAACCTAAAGCCTTTCAAATCACCACCTGACAGGTTATTCCTAATTCCAATGGAAGCTGATGGATTTGCTGTAGCAAAGGGTGTGGGTAGGCTCCAGTGTGATGTGAAGGCTGTTTCCTAATCTGCAAACAACATAAGCTGATAGAGTTAACATTAAACATTGGAATTTTTGGTCAGTTTGTTACCATCTTTCTGATCTCTTAATTTTTTGTTTAGCGTTGTGTTCTGTCTGACAAGTGATAGTCTGTGAAGGTTCTTTCCCAAAACACTATTAAGGAATCTGTTTCTTCACTGTAACGAAAGAGAGGTTTGGTATTAGGAAGTGTTGTAGTAGTAGGAGAGTGATAATGAGGGCAGTTAAACTAGAGAATTTAAGGTTCTTAGCTGAGATTGTGTCAGATCCTAAAATCTTCATTAAAACACACGAATGTGTTGTAACATGTACAAATAAAGAAGCTTGCAGGATCTTATTTTACAGTTTAGATATGTACGGCACTTTTGGACTTTTGGATAGCAAGTCAGTCACCCTTTATTTTTATTTGTTCAGTTTACGTAGCTTGGGATGCAGAAAATACTATTTACTGTGTTTAATGTTTTCAAGGTATGTGCCATAATGACTAAGAAGAGCTGAAGAAAAGTGAATAATTACATATCTTTTTTTCCACCCAATCATTTCCTAAGGTCTGGAGAAAATGATGTGGAATATAGCAGTAATATGGAGTTGGAAGAAGGTGATCTCATGGAGGATGCAGCAGCTGCTGCTAGTCCTGGAGCATCAGGTATGAAAAACAGCCTTCAGAATTCCCATATATGCAAAACGCTGCTGGATTCCTCTTCTGTTCTTGGAAGTGACGCCAAGCTGCGTGTTCTGCAGGCATTTCTATTTTTGGAAATGCTGCATCATGTGGTTCATACTGATTATTGCAGTGTAGCAGAAATGTTTCATTGGTTCAATAGAGAAAGGGGGAGAAATCTTCTGAACGTGCTTGTTTAAAAAATTATGCATAAGTTTAGAGGGAGGTTTTTCTGCCTCTTGAAACCCCTTCCATTCTGATCAAAAGTAGCCTGATGGACAGTTTGTACTGATGCCTGTGTGGCCTCTGAATGTGTGACATGTTCACTTGGGTTTTAGTGCACTGTAAAATCTGAAGGATGTGGAGGGAATTCAGTGGAGAATCCTTAGAAGTCAAGCAGAAATACATTTTAAGTGCAATAATGAAAAGGTGCTCTAAGATTACTTGAAGCCTAGAGATGATTATAGCCCAAATTAGCCATAGGTTGATAAGATTCTGAAAGAAATATATGTATATGGAGTGTGTTTGTTTATGGCAAAGATATTGGATGTGGTGTTCACTGGCAGTAATGTTTGTGCTGCTGTGGGTGTGTTTGAAAGACACAGTTCCTTAACTGTCCTGCTTTTAGCTGCTGTTTCAAAGCTACTTGAAGATTTCTTGTGAGCCAGAAAGCTGAGGGACATGCCTATTACCTTCTGAAAGCTGGCTGTTAGAGCAGGAGCACAGTGGCTGTAGAAACAGCATTCATTTAGGAGGTTTTAGAAAGTAATTTTTAACAGCATTTGTGAAAGCTGGCACAGTCTCTTCACTTGAGCTTCTTGCATTTACCTGCTTGTGCTGTTTTCAAGTCTGAGTGCAAGTACTGTCAGCAGAATAAATGCTCTTTGATTGATTTGCTTACCAGTCTATTTATTAAGAGAGTTATATAAAAGGTATGAAGTGTACAGGAGCTAATGTGTCACCTGTGTCCTGTGTATACACACTCTTTCTCTGTAACTCTTCCTTAGGTACTAGCCACAGCTACATCAGTGCAAGTGGAAGACCTTCAAGGCGGGGAGGAAGTGCCCTAGGCTCAGCAGCCAGTAGCAGTTTACTAGATATAGATCCCTTAATTTTAATCCACTTGCTGGATCTGAAAGATAGAAATGGAATGGAAAACCTCTGGGGCCTTCAGCCACGTCCACCTCCCTCTCTTCTGCAGAATAGAGGTAACTGTACTTCTGACATACATTCTGATTTAATTCCAACCTGGAAGTGTCTCTGGGAATGCAGTCCCAGAGTTAGAAGCAGATTTGAGGAGAGAGTAAAAAAGGATGACAGGCAGCCCTTTTCATGGAAAGCTACGCTTCCGTATCTTCATGTTGCATCCTGCTGCCTCCTCACATGTTCTTTTCCTTAATGGTTGACCTCAGCTTGAGAACACAGGGTGACTCAACTGGAAACAGAAGTGTGTATCGGGAAGGGCCTTCTCATCTTTCCTTGAGGAATGTGACTGAACCCTTGGCTGTTTTGTTTAACAACCTTGTAGAGGTGCAGTTCATACAGCTTCTTTGACTGCAAATGTGGGAGATGAATGAAATGTCCTTTTCTAGAAGGGGTTAGCGCTGAGAGACAAAACAGCACAAAGTGGTTGTCAGCTGCGGAAGTAGTTACACCTCTCACCTTACACAGTTTGTACGCTTGGTGGCTGAGAGTACCAAGAGCACAATTTATACTGATAAGAAGTAAATCCTGGAATTTGCTTTTGCATGAAAAAGGCATTTAGACCCAAACTAGGAAAAATGTGTGGTAATGAAGCTGGAAAAGCCCATATGGAAGAAACATGGATCAGAATATTGGGAGCCAAAAACAGTGATGGTGTTTAAATAATTGAAGACTTGGAAGAGAGTCTGTGGTACAGTTAAGACCCTTCAACCAAAAAACGCGATTAACTTCATGTGCAGCAAAAGCAGTTAGCTCTCAATTCCAGCACCCCTGGGTGTTGCTGAAGGCTGCTTGTTTCTCTTACTAGTGAAGAATTAAAATCAGATCAAACCTCAGTGATACATTTATCATGATTAACACTTACTTGAAGGTAGCTGGCCCACTACCACAACATCTTATTTCAGGTTATTCTGAAACAACCGTTTGGTGACTTAATAGAATAGAAGAGAAATAATAATGGTCCATTTGCTCCAAACTCTTGCTTTGGCTGCAGCAATGACATTGCTGATAGTGAATCTAAAAGCTGGCTCAAATTATTTGTTCCTTTGTGATTAGCTTTTAAAATGTTGCCAGGTTAAACAGATGAGTTTTCAGCTGAATGTAATCCATGCTTCTAAACATGGAAGTCTCTTCTGTGAGTACAAAAAGGGGAGGCAGCACATGAACTGTAAGTCTCAGTTCTGTTCTGGCTGGAAAAAGGCTGAGACAAAAGGACCTTAGGCGCAGGCGTTGCATTTGGTGCTGTCCTGCTTGAGCAAGATTAAGGTCTGTTGTATTAAGTGGCTTCCTTGTCATCTTTAGCTACTCACTGCAGTGCTGAAATTGTTGGGTTTGCTGAGGTTCCCTTAAGATGTGACTGTTCCCAGAGCTTATTCAGGTCAGTCAACTAAGAGAAAGCTGCTACTACATTTGGATTTTGCCAGACTTCACCTCCTAAGGTGAAGGTTTCCAAGAGCCACTTGGCTTTATGGTTTTGAACAGCTGAATTTGCAGTGAAACACAGAATTCATAATGGTTCAAATAAACATCAGATGTGATCTAATTCTGGCTGAGCAGCACACAGGCTTACTTGGGTATTAGCTGCTCAACCTGATCTTCTGGTGTTAGGTACTTAAGGGGATTCCTTCCCCAGTTGCAGATTTCTGTGAGTTCTCTGTGTTAATGGGGTGTTGTGTTGGTGGTATGAGAATCTTGGACAGGCACTCAGCAAATTTTACAGAAATGTGTAACAAATTTGACTGGCATCCAGGCTTGTGAACTGAAGCTGGTCTGGCAACATAGAGGAGCAGCTCAGTTGTCATCAAAATTCATGCATTAGTATTGGAAGCCTTGCTTCTTCCAGCGAGCATGTTCTGGAGTCTTCTATGACGGGCAGGGAATGGAAACCTGACCTGGTAGTTGTGCAGTGCATGCAACCTAAATATGGTGCAAGAATGTCTGTCCCTCATTTTCATAGCAGGGCAAAAGGTAGAATTCTTACAGCTGCTAAAAATAGATGTCTGTGTTTATTTGACAGCGTTACTTACCTGTTGTGTTAACTTTCCTTCGGTAAAGCATCATCCTATTCTCTAAAAGATCGAGACCAGCGGAGACACCAGGCGATGTGGCGCGTGCCCCCTGACTTGAAGATGCTGAAAAGGCTCAAAACGCAGATGGCTGAAGTTCGTAGCAAAATGTCTGATGTGAAAAACCAGCTGTCAGAAGTGAGAAGCAGCAACCCTGGCTCATGTGATGGTCAGCCCACCTTCTTCTCCATTGAGCAGGGTGCTTTAGCTGCCTGTGGAACAGAAAGCTGCAGCAAGCTGCAAGAAATAGGAATGGAGCTACTAACAAAGTCTTCAGTTACCAGTTGTTACATAAGGAATTGTAAGTGCATTAAATGTCACCCTTACAATGTTGGTTGTATAGGTGGTTTTATATATCCAAGCATCTGAAATAGACTTCTTACAGTTAGCCATGCTCAAGTTCAGCTATAAGAATACAGAAACCTAAAACCTGCACTGCCTTACTTTCAGTAAATGTTAGTAATGTAATTTTACTAAACATTTTTAGTGAACATTCCAGTAAATGTTACTGAAGCTGGCTTCAGCCTTTCTTGGTAAAAGCACCAAAACTTTCGCTTCACAGCCAGTAACACACCTAATGCAGTGAGAGTAAACTTCTTAGTAAACTTCAGAGTTCTGAAGTTTAGTCCAGTATTGAATTGATCCTACCTGAAGGTCATTTCCTTTTGACTGCTGCTCTGTGTCTGGCCCATCTATGAACTTGAGGATGTTTCCTGATGCTTGCCAGTGAATAAAGTTAAAACATTCCAGATTTGTTATACTTTAATAACTTGAAATCTTGCCAAGGCTCCCCTGGGAGAGGCTTTGCCTTTTGACAGGTGACCTCTTTCAGAGAGGGCCCTCTCTGTTCAGGTCCTGTCACTGGGTCTTGGTGGCAGAGCTGGTAAGCCAACGTGGAATCTTTTGGATGCCAGCATGAAGACTATGCAAGTACTCTGCTGCTTATGATCCTGAATAAAAGCACTAGTTGTTAATTCTCTCAACTTCCCTGTTGCCTGGGGGAGATGATTTTGTAGCCTTCTGAGTTTTGATTCAAGTTATTACTTGAATTATTCTGGACCCAAGATGAGTAAAAAATATATTATACACATGAGCAGACTAAAGAACTGGTAGAACAGTTCTATTTCCCTCCATCCCTTTTAGTATTGACCTGCAAAAGCGCTTTTGCAGCTCCAGCAAATATCTATTCTGTATTTCATCAGTCCCACAGAGCAGAGAATTTATTCTCTGAAAGAGAAAGTTAAAGTTGGAGCCCTGAACTCTGCCATCAGTAAGATGTGGAAGGCTCAGCTCACTTCAGTGGAAGTGCTAGCTTTTGTTTGTTGTGTGGTTTTAATGCCAGCTCTTTCTTTAGCAAATGCCTCATTCCTCAAAATTTATTAAGGCACCGGGTAGGAGGAGAGGATTAGGCTTGTGGTGTTCCGTAAAACAGGAGCAATCTTCTGGTTTTGAAGCCTGGATCCCCCACCTCCAAGGGGTGACTGCAGAACTTGGATTTGCTGTTCCAGTTAGCGTTGCTCTGTTCCTCTACCTGGAGGAGTTTCTGTGGCAGGATCCACAGTATCATGTGCTTGAAGAATGGTTCATTTGGGAAGTGGTAAACTCTGAGAGTCCCATAACCTGTCTGTCACTCTTGATTTCGAGGTCCTTTTTTACACTCGACTTTGAATTTAAGAGCTGAAGGGATGGTTTGGGCTCCTCTTAATCCTTTACACTCTCATCATGATGGCTGAAGGAATCTGGATAGTGGCTTTCTTAAGGGCATCTTGGTGTAAGGCAAGTGAACGTTATTTTGTATAGTCTTGGCCACATCTGTAGCTAGCCAGGCTTCCCTGTAGCTCACGTCTTTGACAGGAAGGATGAGGAATGAGTTTTGTGCAGGACTGGGAGTTAATGAGCATAGAGACTAAAATGAAGCTTAACTTGACTTAAGCACAAAGGCAGAATGCTGCAGCACTCTGACTGAACACTTGTCACATCTTAAAATATTTTTGCAGCTGCAAGTAAGAAAAATAACTCGCCCAAAACTGTTCGCTCTGGAGCAGCAGGCAGCCTGTCTTTACGGAGAGCTATGGACTGTGTGGACAGCAATCTTCGCTTAAAGGGGGACACTCAAACTTCTGAAGGTAAACATCTTTCTTTGTGAGGTGGGGGGCATCTCAGCATCTCACGTACGAAAGCTTTTCAGGAAGTCTTGCTTGGTAGGTGATGAAGACAGGCTGAGGAAGCTGGGGTTTTTCAGCCTGGAGAAGAGAAGGCTGCTTGGAGACCTCATAGCAGCCTTCCAGTATCTGAAGGGGGCCTATAGGGATGCTGGGGAGGGACTCTTCATTAGGGACTGCAGTGATATAGGACAAGGGGTAACGGGTTAAAACTTAAACAGGGGAAGTTTAGATTGGATATAAGGAGGAAATTCTTTCCTGTTAAGGGTGGTGAGGCACTGGAATGGGTTGCCCAGGGAGGTTGTGAATGCTCCATCCCTGGCGGTGTTCAAGGCCAGGTTGGACGAGGCCTTGGGTGATATGGTTTAGTGTGAGGTGTCCCTGCCCATGGCAGGGGGGTTGGAACTAGATGATCTTAAGGTCCTTTCCAACCCTAACTATTCTATCATTCTATGATGTTTCCCTGAGACTTGGCTGGATCCTTTCTTGAATATAGTTAATGATGTTGTACCTTTGGTAGCTGATCTGTGAAAGAGAACCTCACAGATGACTTGCAGAACATAAATATGTGTGTTAACAAGTTCTGATGTCTGAAGATGTTTCAGGAACTAATTTTATAGTGAGAATCATAGATCCAAAAAGTACTGACCCATGTTTAAATTGTAATTTGCCTTAAAAGGAATACAAGAAAATCCCACATACATGTGAGAAAGAGTATTGATACTGTGGGCTCTGAGTTTTAAGGTGCCCTTCCTTGAGTGGTAATGAAACATCTAACACAGGACTTATGTTTTGCCCCTTTTAAGTGTTCTGAGGAGGAGTGGAGTACCAAAGTTGTTTTCTTACAGTGCTAAATGGATAAAGAAGGCTTGGGTGGGAAACTGGAAAATGCCAGAGAGTCATTTAGATGGTGTAACTTATAACCTCTGCACACAGCTTCACCCTTGTCCAAGGCTTGAAAGGCTGTGGCCAGGCAACTTCACATTGATAGCTGTGGAAAATGATAGTGAGGAGGTTGTCTGTTACTGAAAGATAAATAGAAGATAAGTTTTTAACTACACAATGCGGGGAAGGATTTGTCTATAGTCTCCCATCAGAAATGGCAGCTGAAACAAAAGCTCTGTGTGATGAGAGAGTGGATATACCAGATGGTTTGTGTTGCCCATATGTTCACTTGAAACTGTAAGGTTTTAAGCATGAGGGTGGGGCAGGTGTGCTTGTGCATACACGTGTTTGGAACCAGGCTGGTGCTGTGAAACAGCTGGGTGTTCAGCTTCTTGAAATACGGCTTGACATGCTTAGAGTTTTCCCCCTTTTCTCAGGTGGCGTAGGGAGCTCCAAGTTGAGTGGTCGGCACCATTCTGCCAGGGCCCTGGCTAACAGTAGTGTCCCTGAGTCACTGCCAAAGACAGAGGAGAGGCCTTGTGATGGTTCAGATTCGGATATGGGAGTTTCTGGCTTAAATGGCTTAGCTGCTGTAGAGAAGACAAGGAAAGTTGGTGCTCTAGGGTAAGCATTTGTTCTCTTTTCCTCTTGTTATCTCCTCACCTGCCTTTCCTTGATCTAGGAAGAAAGACACCAATCAACTAAACCCAGGTGCTTGTAGCATGGAAGAGAAATTCCTTTCAATTTATTTGGTTTGCTGCTGTTTCCTCTGGATATCAATTTTTAGTTTAATAACTAGGTTACAAGGGTTACAAGTCATCTTTTCCATTTTGTTTTTTTTTTGTTTTTTTTTTAATTTATTTTATTTCGATCAGCTGTGGATGCAGTCTGACACTTGGCTTGGGAAGGCAGGCCCATCCATATTCCCACTATTCCTTGCAAAATACCCTCTAACTGAAATTTACAACTTAAGGTTTCCTCAGTTAAGACAGTATTTTTCACTTTGACTCTAGTTTTTCAGCAATTTCATAATAACTCCCTGTTGGCTGACAAAGCAAAGTGCCATGGGAGTACTCAGGGTTTTGGTGTTTTTTTTCTAAATACCTGGAATCACCATTTTTGCAAAATATTCGTAAACTTTTCCAGGTTTATTTTGTGAAGATGTTAAATATTTCTGCATCAGTCCAAGCTGGAAGTTTAAGTGGATATGCAAGAGAGTTAAACAATGAGTAAAACTAGAAGTGGGACTAGAAGGATTAAAGCTGAATCTCTAACATGAGTTTTTCTACTTCTCCTCAATTCTCTCTTAAGGTCAACTTCTAAAGGGTGTCGTACAGAAGGAGCCCAGTCAGGTGGTCTGGAGAGCGGCTCTGACACAGGTGACCTACAGACTGTCCTTTCTGAGGGGGCTTCTGCAGGGCCAGAAGAAGGTAAATTGAATGTTGCAGAGGGCAAATGTAGTTTGACCACACACCAGTCTGGGATGACCCATTTCTGTAATAGAAATAGTTGGAAGGGGAAAGGAAAAGAGGAGGGAAAAAAACCCTCCATCAAACCCAAAAGGTGTTTTCATGCCGGTTGACCTTTGCTGTAATAATTGGCAGCTGTAGTGTGAATCTGAGTGAGGAGTGAATGTCTCTGTGTCACCTCTGTCTGGGGAGAAATGGCAATGGGACAGTGCAGCAGGCAAAGACCCGGTGCCATTACATGGGGCCATCTATTTCTCTGGACTCCTACTTGCTTTTCATACCTCTTAATAGGGCTCCAGGTCTTTGCTTTGGTGTTCAGTTGCATGGCCTTGAAAATAATTTCTTATCTAATTAAAATAGCAGTCAGTGACCTTGGCTTTTAAGCCTGCTGCCGTCAGGGACAACGCGTTGGTAACTACCTCCACGTCTGCACTAGACTCTCTCCAACACTTCATTCGTGTCGGGTGCTGTGGTACGTAAGCCAGTTTCCTTAGAGACTTGGAGGAGACTTTTCCCCTCCCTTCCTGCATCCTTACCATGCTGGCAAAATTATTATTGCATTTTTTTTTTTCTTTTTTGAAAGTCCACACAGAAGAGTTTTTCTTATCTTGCTCAAACTCTGCTGCCTTCCACCCCTGCACTAATTTGAATTTCAATGACTGAATTGTAGCGCAAAGCCTATATTAAGGTGCCAGCATCCATCTCTAGCTGCAGTGTGCAATATTGTGTAGGAGTTGGCATTTACAGAAGGTCTCTCAGTGACAAAACTGAATTTCTGCTCTTAGTCACTGCAGTGTGATGATGATGCGCTCCCGCAGCTCTGCTATTATAGCAGAGAACCTAATAGGAAAATGTTTTAAGAACTGAAATAGTTCATTGTTAAAAACCCCAGGAAACAAACTTTACTTTTTTTTTTTTTTTCTTTCCTTTCAGAGGAGAAACTACGGTAGGGCTGGTACCTCAACTCACTTTACTTGCTTTTTCTTAGCAATGAGTATCCACTCTTAAGAAGTGAAAGAGCAGAGCAAACCCCTTCCATCTCCCACAAAACTGCAAAAAGGAGCATGTTCACCTCTGCCAGTGCCTACTCAGTGTTTGGCAAAACAAAAGAAGCCACCTTGATTATTAACTATTGTGGTTCTTTTTGTAGGAAAACTAGTTTTTTTTGTGCCTGAGACTTGAACAGAGTATTGCTGCTTGAAAGGTGTGGTGGGTGGGTACATCTGCTCCATGGGTCATGCTACCTCTGAACTGTTAAAAACCTGCTCTAGTGGAACGTGTTCCTGCCCATGGCAGGGGTTGGAACTGGATGAGCTTAAAGGTCCTTTCCAACCCAAACCATTGTAGGATTCTGGGGGGAAAAAAAAGCTACTTTTATTTTCTGTCCTCATTGCAGAGGTGAGCAGAGCAGCTGGCAGGGGAGCACAGCTCAGGCAGGAAGGGGCTGCAGGCAACCAAGCCTGCCTCAGCTGGTGACGTGCTGGAACTCCTCTTGTGCCAAACAGCAGAATGAGGGCATTCCCAAAGCTGGTACCTGCTGTTCTGTTCAGTCCCTTAGTGCTTTGGTAAATGCCTCTGGCTCTGAATGTGTTCCTTCTCTTGTTCTCCTGCCAGCTCTTGGGATTTGATATTGCTTCCTCTCACAACCAATTGTGAGACATTGAATGCTTCAGTCACATAGGTCTTGCTGCCATCATTTTTGGCTTGTGGGTCTTTTTGGGTTTTTTCACAGCTGGGGTATGTCAGAAGCATGTCCTTCATCTCCTACCAGGAATGAGCAGTGACAGCGACATTGAATGTGACACAGAAAATGAAGAGCAGGAAGATGGTGCCTCTGCCTCAGTGGGGTTTAACCAGTCCTTCTCAGTCCAGTCCTCCAGTGAAGGTAGGAGTGACCGGGGAGCCCACCTCCTGCTCCTGCCATGCTGGATGCTGCCAGATCAGAGATTGCTGAAGGTTGCTGTTAAGGTATCAATACTCAAGCAAGTGCCAGTGAGATCTGGAACTCCTCTCTTGGGATCCTAATAAACAGATCAGAGGGTAACTCTTTCTATCCCTGAGAAGTCAGGGAGGTGCTGGGAAACCCAGAGCTCCTGTTCTTCTGGCTTGGAACTCCCTGCACACTAGGACTGGTGCTGTATGTCAGCTCTTTTCAGGGAGGTAACTGCTGCCTTAGACGTGGATTTGCATCTTCCTTGGCAGGAATGTGCTTTGAGCACTTCAATGTAGTTTCCAAAACTCATCTCATGCTTCTTTGAAAAGCTTTAACCTTCTGATCAAATTAAAAGCTGTGAGGTGACAGCTGATGCTGGATGAGGTTGGCTTCTGGTTGAATAAGCATCCCATACTGCAGTAGCAGCATGGCCAAACAACTTGCCTCTGTAATTGGAGTTTGCTGCTTTGCTGTGTCTCTGCAGCAGGCACTAAAACCCCAGCTCATGGGAAGAATCACAATATTGTTCATATCTGTGTTTGAATTTAAGCCCCTGGGGCAGTTTTAACTCAGTGTCAAGTGCATTGTGTGCCAGTATACTGGGGATGAAGTACCACACAGCGGGCTCTGCCAGTAGCAGAATGTTCATTTGCTCTGTTCCAGTTGCTCCTCTGGTAATGGATGCTGGTTCTTCTTTGGTTTCAGCCTCGGAGCAGTGTGCAGCATTCCCAGAGGGTGACCAAGCCGGTCCTGATGATCTCAGCTTTGCTACTGGAGAAGACAGCACCAGGTAAGGGTAGCTGCTCAGCCTGCAAGGTGGTGGTAGCCCTGGGGATGCTCCTTCCCTGTACCGCATCTCAGGTTTGCAGCGATGAGGGGCAGGTTCACCTCACTGGTGATGGACAGGCAGGTGCTGGGGCTCCTTCCTGGCTTCCCCAGGGCCATGTTGCTTTTCAAGGCAGTCTGTAGCCACTGTGCAGTACCATGGGAGGGCTGGCTGGGTTTGCACTGCAGTGTAATGTCAGTGGAAGACTGACTGAATTTAAGTACCTGGCATGAAGTTTTGATTCATAAGACTCTGCTTGAAGCCCTAAAACTGTCCTTACATGTTGGTTTCACTGACAGCTGATTTTCTTCGGAGCAGGTAGAGAACACGTTCAGGGCCTGAAGACCTGTGGCTCATGTCCTTGGGAAGAGGGGCATTTATTTGCTGGAGCTTAGCCCAAGGCTGTTATTCGTGGCTGTGAGCACACTGTGTTCTGTCCAGCACCCTCATGTGGTTCTTCTACAGTTGTCTTAACCCAGTTCCTGGGGTGAAGTGACCTTTGGAGGTCTTACACTAATGTCTGCATTCCTGCTGGCTCTGTCAGCTCACACGCTCTTAAAAGGTGCCCAAGCCCCATTTCAGGCTGCTGCTGTCGTGTTGCATCGCTGGGCCAACCATGACTATGTGACTGTCCTCAGTTAAACTGGTGTGAGCGGGTTGTGCAAGGCTGCTGAAGCTGGCAGATGGGATGGACAGAGTTGGGGTGAAGCAGCTGCTGTTTTCCTCAGTCGAGACGTGGACCACCTGAACCCACCACCACCCTCTGCCATGGCGTGTTGCATTCTGAGCTGCTAAACTACTGTGACGCTGTGGTGAAAGCCAAATGCCTGGTCAGTGACAAAGCATGAGTAACTGTCACTGTTCTTGTCCGTGTCTCCGCTGGCTGTACCAGTGTTCCTGTCTGAGTGTTCCACAGTGTAAGTGCTGTACAACTCCTAGTTTAAAACTGTTTGCACTTTGTTAATAAAATGAATGTTGAAATCTGATGTGATGTTTGAGGTGTTTGTGTACAAGTACTGCGGTAAAGCATGTCAGTGAGTACAGTGCTGCTGCCTTGACCTTCTCCAAGGAGAACACTTGCCTGTCATGCGCTGGTCACCCTTCTCTTGAATTGCTCCATGAAAAGTGCTTAAATCCACCTGGGATTTGTAAAGCTGTTATATTCTAGAACCTCCTATACTCAAATAGGAACTGCGGAGGAGCCAATGCTTTCACACAAATGTAGTTTTGTGTAGTTTTGTGTTTCCTAGCTAGAGGGAGGCGCAGCCCTGAGCCACTTCAGGCACCACTTGCTCTGATGGCCAAGTGCTGAGGGTGGCCTGTGACAGGCTGTGCCCTGTGGTAGTGGATAGGGGGTGTTTGGTGTTGTACAGGGCTGTGTTGATTACACACAGCTCAATTAGCAGTAATTATGGTGCTCTGCTTTGTCACCACTCACAGGTGCTTTGCTTTAATGAGAGGCCCATGGTGAAGGAAGTGGTTTGATGGGGCATGTGCCCCACTCTGCTGCTGGGGTCCAGGGAAGGAGCTGGAGCTGCCACACTTTGCTTATGTTACGGAAAATAACCTTACACAGCACTGGCTTTTTAATGAGGAGGGGGAAGGAGGTTTGGAGGACTTAGTTATCTGATTTGCTGTAACTGCCCCTTCCTTCCCTTCAGAACAGCTCAGAGCTGAGTTATGACAGGCCCCATGTGATAACACCATGGGTACCATGGTACCAGCTCACACAACCACTGTTGGCCAGTTCTGGTACATGCCACACAGAGGTAAGCTGCTTTCACCATGGGAAAGATGTTTCAGTCAGAGGGTGGTTGCTATCTCTGTTAGCTCTTAAATAAACAGACTATCTGAAGTGTGGTTTAAATTACTGTTTTATTAAGATATTGGTAAAACTTGAACAGTTTTTCCTGTATAAACAGCTTCATAAATAAAATATGGATGACTAATACATGGTTGAAACTAATAGGTGGACTGTAGAACAAGACTACGGAGGGAAGTCCCAACACTGGCAAATGGTTTAGTTTATTCACTGCATCAAGAACATGTTATTGTCATGAACACGGTACCACAGAGAGGTCAACACAAGCCCCCATGTCACAACCGCTGGCAGGAGTGCTTGGTATATGGTGTGAACTTGGTCCCGCACCCTGTTCCTGTCTCAGGTGAGGAAACCACAGTGCACATGCGATACAGGAGTTGTATTAGAGACCCCAAGGGTTGTACTAGACCCTAAGGGAGAGGATTTTCGCTTTACTGCTGGCAAGTACAGTGCGAGTGCCTGATGGGCGAGGGCAAGGAAAGGATGGGAACGTTTTAAGTCAAAGGTTGTGTTAATGCTTCGTTATTGCACATGATACAAGGGTAGAAAGTTTTGTTCCTGTTGCAAAGGATATGAATTAAAGAAAGATTGCCCTAAATTATAGGCGTGATCAAAGCCGGAGTATCCCCTTCAGTGGCTTTATGTGACTAGTGCCCAGTGAGTAAATTATGCTAAAACAGTCCCTAACTTAGACCAATCTTTTTCATTTGCTTTTTCCTGCAGAACACTGCCACGGTGGGATTTCATGAGGAGGCTGGCTCTGAATTACAGCAGCCGTATCTATGAACATGGAACCCATTACACCTCATCTGCCCACAGGACATGTTTCTCACCGATGCACCACTATAAATGTGGTGTAAGGTAAAGTCTGCTTCAGCATTGTCCTTGGGTGCTGCAATGCAATCTCAATTCACTACTAAATGGTTTTAACTGGCAAGGACAATCGATGGCACTTCCAGGTAAAGAAAAGTTCTATACATGTGTTTCCACCCACCGTCAGTGCAAACCACGGTGGGTTAAGGGCACCCCTGTCCCTGCAGTACAGACACCCCAGAGCTACACCTTCCAAAAGCGTGCACAGGGAACAACCAGAGCGGGGACTGCATGAATCCCATCAGGACTCACAGTGAAAAGCTTATGAGTGAGTTTTGAGCAGCTTCAGACAAACAGCCTGGAGCCCCCTTCTCAAAACCACCACAAGTTCACAAAAACCAACATAAAAAATGGTGTTTTCACTCCCTACCTCCTAGTTCTGCACACAGGGTTAATGCGTAAACTGAAACTGATGTGGGTTGTCTTAACGCGGAACAGGGATACTTCAGCTCTTTATTGGAAAGATTCGTTATACAAATTTCACCACCACTACGATACACAATAAAAATACAAAACACAGGTCACAGACTGAATCTCAGTAGCAACAGTTAATAAATACAATTAGATGCTTTTATATTAGCCTAGTATCTTTACATTGTCACCAGATAGACAATCAAAGTACGAGATACAGAACACTTAGATACCGTTAGAGAGGGATTATTGCTTACGTTAGCAAGCAGCAAGTAAGGGCACAGGAGTTTGAACTGAAGAGAACTACTTCCTATCATCAGTGGCGTTAAGAGAAAACACTGCATTTCACAAAGCACTGCTTTTTGTCTAGTGGATAGAATCAAGAGCAGCATATATCAGACCAATAACCACTACTTGTAATAGTATAGAACTTTTAAGGACTTACCTTACAAATGGTTCCTATCTACTCTATAAATATGCATTTAGTGAAGAAATGAACACTTGCTACCTATACAACGTTTTAACCTGACCACACTGGAACTATGATGGCAGATTTTTTTCTCCTAGCAAGGTAAATGGTATGAGTGGCAGAATTATCACTTATGAATCCACACCTAAAAAGCTAAATCCTTCCTCAAAACAGCACACATGCAGTCGAGCACTCATCAACCACTCCTGCAGACTGGGAAAAAGTTTTATCATCTATCACAGCTCTTCATTCTCATTTACTCACACACAGAATTGCACTTACACCACCTTCCTCTCTGAAACACGACAGTAAGATGGACTTTCAATACGTCATTATTACTGTGAAGAATTTAAAACAAAGGCACCGCAGAGATGCCCCAGATTTGCATATTTTATCATCTCATGATTTTTCAAATTTCCTCAGTAAATCTGAATTGGAACATATGCTGCAGCTAAAGAGAACGGCGACAACAGCTAAGGCTTAGTAAGATGATGGATAAGAGCCAGTGATCCTGTAAGAGTAAAAACAAAAAGCCTGAAAAAGATCAAAAGAATCTAAAGCCACGCTCCAACTCCTGGTTACTCACAAAGCCTTTCACTGTTCCTCAGATTGCTTTTAAAATAGTGCATCAAAGGCGGAAGCAGCAGAAAGTGGCAGAACTCAAACCTTGCCATCTTGTCGTGTTGAATAATCTCCTGACTACTTAATACTAAAATACCTTGCAAATTCTAGCTAAATACTGTTATTAAATTGTTACTGCTAAAATGATATGAGTTGTACAATAAGTGCCTATGAAGACTGACTTTATTCATACCCTTCCAAATATTTTACTGTAACGAAGAACAGCAACAGGTATGTATTTAGTGGAGCTGATGAGAATCGTCTGCTTACTTATGTCCCAGTTAAGCGCTCCCCCATGGGTTCAACATCACCTCAACAGTAGAGATAAGCCATCAGGTACCACGCATTTTCCACTGTGGTAAGTAACATTGCTCACTTCCCTTTCCTAACCCAGGTTTCACCAAAGCAGAGCTCTGGCTGGCCACTGAGTTTTACTCGCTCCACAAAATCCCAAGTGCAGCCCCTGCTCTGCTGCACCCACAACGTTTCCACATGTCTGTGACTGCTCTGGCAGACTGGCATCCAATCCTACACACACTAGAAAACACCACACTGCAGCAGTGATGCTGCTCGGAGGCACAGGATGCTACCATCCTTCCTGCTGCAACTTAATATGAAATTATGCCTTTGCCACGTAGAAACCACACAGCTTATCAGATTGCTCATTATCTTGCGCAAGCAGTTCTCTGGTTTGACTGGTTGAGTGGCAGCAGTATTGTACTGAACATCTCCACAGACTGGTTTCTTTTAAGACCTGAGATGAAGTTACGGA